TCCCTACGAGTAACTAATGGATGGAATCAGAGACGGTCCTGGTAGGTGCATGCACGCGGGCTGCCAAATTTCGAAGGTGCGATACCAATCAATGTCAAATACCTCTTTTGTCACATCACTAGTAAATCTCAAAGGACGCGACAGAGCTGTTGTAGATTTTAAACGTTTCTCACCATAGCTGTAAAAATCTAAATATGTTAAACTTAAAAGTCATTTGTTTTCTAACTAATTCGTTTTAGGACCAAGTGTATTCAGAAATTTCCAAAATTTACAACTTTTCGGTCACTCTCATTGAACTGGAAAATTTTCTGTCTTTATTACATTAATAATACTGTGATAATCCGGAGGGATTCTCAAATCAATTTATATAATTTTACTTTAAACAAACTTGGGAAAAAAAAAATATATATTACTTTAAAGCTTAAAAACGATAAAATTTGGAAATAATTAATAAAACATCACCTAATAAGGTTATAAACTTTTACATCCTGTAAAAGTGCTCTGTCATGCCACTTTTACCAAGAACTGAGGATATTTTGTTTCCTTTCTCCACGCCTCGTATCTTAGAATTTTGCACTCCATCTAATCGAATGACACATCATTTCGGATAATCATGATGGTGCAGAAAAGAGGGATAAAGAGGCAGGTTTTCAGATGCTCTGGGCAGTTCCCCAGGACCTTGCCATAGAGAGGCAGTTCAATAGAAGTCGAACATGCCATAGAAAGTACTCCCCCAACGACTGAACCTGTCCTCCCAACTCCACTCTACAGGAAGAGAATCTATAAGGTACAAGATCCCAACATGAACAACGAGGTAAAATTTATTGTAAACCTCTCTCTCTCTCTCGGGTTAAATCTAAGATAGATCCTAGTCTCGCGATAGGATATAACTCCTGTCTTTCCATAGTCTACATCTGTATTATTGTTTGCTAGTGTTATTGTTAATTCTAATCAAATTATCAACTTCTATATAGGAATGTCCCTATTAGTATTAAGTTGGACAGATGTTTTATGTTTTGTTGTTCTATTATTTGTATTTGTTATTTTATTCTTCTATAATTAAATTATCAAATTTTTATTATATAACCTTCGTAGTCTGGTATTTGTTCTTATGCACAAACCCACACAGAATCTTACCACTCGGGTTCTGAGAAAAATTAAGCCATCCAGTGACAAAGTGAGCAGGTCTAACTGATCTGACGATTAGAGGGCCTGGACCCTCGTCCGTATTCTCACAATACGAATAAATCAGTCTCCACAGTACTCGGCTAGAGATGGTTCGGTTAAGCTTTTGTTTAAGTAAAATTTCGGCTCTTTCATCAGGGTTTTGTTTATGTCCCCAATTCCCTAATCGCTTAATTATTTAACTACTTCCTAAGTAGAAATAAGTCGAAACCAGTTACTTTGCACTCGAATATTTGTAGTCTTGGGAAAAAAGTGGAAAGACAAATTTTTATGAAAGCGGATATATAAATCGTAAATGTAAGGAAAATAAATTCTAGAGCTTTTTCTGTACCTGGTGCATCTCTCTCATTCATTAAATTTAGTTGTAAATGACGCTGTCAAAGTAACAGTTAATTTTTTAACATTGTACAAGAATTGTACACGTTTTTTCTATATCTCCTTAGAGATGGGATATACGAAATAGTACTATTGTGGCCGTCGGCCATAGTTTTATATATATTTTTGTTAATTTTAGTTAGGCTTAGTATCTCCTCTGTTCTTTTGTCTTAACTGTTCTAGAACTTTCTCCCTTAATCCCTATTCCCTCGGGTGACATCACCGATTCTGTGAAACAATGTCAAGAAGACAAAAGGAGCAATAACCCCCTGGAGAGGAGGCGAGGTGAAAGAAAGGAGAAGTGGCTGCGATTTCGTCGAGAGAGGACGAAAACGAGTGTGGTCCTGACCGAGGGGTCGAGCAAGAAGTAAGAAACCTTGCGATAGAAAACCGAAGGAGGATCATACCCTGATCGCATAGTGAGAGATCAGAGGTATCGGAACCTTGTAAGACGGCTGAATTATAGAGGAACGTAGGGCAATTGCTAAAGAAATCGAGTTCCCCCATGTTCAAGTAACGGCAAGCGGGAAGACCACAAGACAACTTCAGAAAACGTAGACGTTCATAAGAGGAAAGAAAATAAGGTCTGCAGTCATTAAGAATTTCAAGACGGTGAATCATCCGAGACCACGTGGCAGAAAACTCCCTGGTATTTTCTCCTTTATTCTACTACTATCCCTATCTATATTTTATTTCTCCTTCCTTAGTTTGTAAGTAGGTTAAGTTTAGCTATAAGTCGTGTGTCGGTTGCCACAATAGAGGCTTGTTTGTGTAGACGATTATTGTATGTATACGAACCCAATAGTCTGTAAGTTGGAATCATTTTAAAGAACCCGTGTTTGATGAATAAAAAAATTTTGTATTTTTACTCGTTTTATATGTTTCCTGTCTGCAATAATATATTGCCCTCAAACGAAACTTTACAATATCACTGGTTTAACATTGAAATCCGTGAGTAATATAAAATCGGAGAGCGGAATAAAAATATCAAATATTTTAATGGAATTTTTTAAACTCCTGTCAACTATACAGAACTATCATAAAAACATACCAGTAAATTCTTATCGGTTAAGTTATAAATCTACTCGTGATTCACGTAATCGGGCGAGGGCGGCCAAATATCTAGCGGGCAGGCGGCTAACAGCCCAGAATCGGTCCTGGATAGAATTGGATGCGGTATACGTGTAGCATCCACCCAAGGTCCTAGGTTTCCATCAGCTAAACCGGGTGAGGTTGGTGCTCTGTAAAGCGCGTGCGCGAATCTGGCTTTTTGGATGCTGACAATACAGCGCTTCCACTCCGCCACTAATATTCGAATATACAATAGCAATCTTATCTTTTTTTTTTTTTTCCACATGTAGTATAGAAATGGTGGCCGAGTGGACTCCGTCTCCGCTTAATGTTGGTGACCAGACCCTAAACACTGGAGTTCGATCGGGGAGGTTTGCGCCTCACTCGGACGAGCTGGCAGCGGGAGTTTTTCCGGGTTTTCCTCCTTGCCAATGACGCCTGAATAGGGGCCAGCTTCCCCCAAGTCCTCCCGGAAGTGTCTCCCTTTCTCGCGGGGGTTGTCTCTTATAAGGCCGGCTTTGGTCACTTCGTGACCTCTCTCCTGTCTTCTCGGATTGGTCGTCTTCGATAAGACCGCCTCTTCGGTTGCTGTGCGATTGGCCCCACTGTTTTTTCCGGAGTGAAAAGCGACGAGCTGCAGCACTCTTCTATCTAAAGTGAAAGTATAGAAATTTGTAATAAGATACATAATGCGGTTATTGTACGATACGATTGTACGATTATTTTCATAAAATTAATATGTATTTATTTTTTAGAAAATACAAGGGAAGCGGCGCATCCACCGCTTCCAATGACGGCACGCCACTGGTAACCTTGAGTTGATCAATGTCCAAATTTCTCCACGGACCACTAAAATTCTCTCGTGGACTATTAGTGATCCACGGATCACCGGTTGGCGACCGCTGATATAGGTCACACAAGATGTCTGAAGCACATGACACGACGTTTATTGTTAGTCGTACTGTACGTGGTTCCCGCGCTTTATAGAAAATTCCTGATTAGTTTATTCGATAGATAATCGTTAATTATTTTATATAAATTATAATTCTGGTTTGAATTTATGAAAATACTGTATCAAACCCCATCCGAGTTATTAAAACAGATTGATGAAAGCTAAAAACTGCAAACCAAGAGGGAGCAGTAACGTACGCCGTTAAGAGGGATTCTACCTTTCTCTACTGTCTATCTCCTCTCCCTCCCCCCTTTCCCTTTTTCGCCGGCTAAACACTCCGTTTAAGAAGTCTTTTGTTTAAATTGTTTTTATTTTTATAATTTTTTTTATAGCTCTTTTTGCCCCGTGAGAGGGCCGGCCTGTTTTTAGCAAGCCCATTATGGGTTCGGCCAGGCCCCCAATAGGGCAGCCGGGTAGTGAGGGGCCCGATATATCCGGACGAACCCCCCAAAATTCCTGGTGATTTATCGACTTGTCTGGATTCGAATCCTGGTCCTCTAGAGCAGTGGTTCTCAATCTTTTTGAAGTCGGGGAACACTAAACTTTGACATTTTTTCCCGCGGAACACTTACAATACAGTATATTAGCTTTAAAGCAGGGTAGCAGATCTTTTTGAAATCAAGAGCACTCGGTCTAGTAGATGATGACATTGGCATTTGCTGATTACATTCCCATAAAAAATTATTTTACATTGTATTGATATTTCTTTTGCAACAATTTTTAACTGTATATTTAATTTTTCGCGGAACACTTGAAGTGGCTTCACGGAGCACCCGTGTTCCGCGGACCACGTTTTGAGAACCACGGCTCTAGAGCGGTAGGCTGCCACCTTGACCGCTTGGCCAACGTTTTCGTTTAAGTATCCTGATGGTAAAATCTATGAATTTAAAATATGCGTTTTTAGAGACAAAGGTTAAAAGAAGGGTCCCAAATGTAAAATTCAACAATAAAATTAATTGTATTGCTGAGAGAACATTTAAAGTAGTCACAAAAAAATTAGAATGCTGACAACCATTCGAAATAAATTCGAGATGACACGTCATCGTGTTCACAAAAGAAATAAAACTATGCCTATGTTAGAGACATCTTATTAAAAGAATAACAAATATTTATATATTTTATTTATTATTACTGTATTACAAATTAAACTTTATATGTTACTGGATATTATTCTATAACTCTCTCTCTCTCTCTCTCTCCGTATATATATATATATATATATTATTATATAGCCTGTTTTATATGAAACAAATAATATAAAATTACTTACCGCTTAATATTAAATATACAGTATATATATGAAATATATATATATATATATTTAATATTAAGCGGTAAGTAAGCAAACCAATAGTATAATTCGTTTCATATAAAACAGGCAATACTATTGGTTTACTTATTTATCTCTTTACAAGCTCTTAACTTTAAGAAACGTCGTTAAGTGTCGCTTCTCTATTTATCTTCTTATCTGGTGACTTTGTTTATTATTTGACAGTATAGTGGCCTCTACTGGCGAAAATCCAAAACTGACCAATATCTCATTGTCTCGTAAACAGTTAATGGCATTTGAAATTCGTTAGTATAGATTATCTAAACTTTAATTAACAGTATAGATTATCTACTGTTGATCATACGAGGCAAGATGGAAACAAAAGTAAAATCACAAAAGAGAAAAGGTTATATAAAAGAAAATTTGGAATGATGCGACTATTACTTATCATCAATCATGATTTGGTTGAAAGTGATTTATGCACTTTCACTTATATGGACATGCAAAGGTAATTTCATTGATTATTATCTTAACTATTCAGATTATATCTCAAAAAGTTTGTTAAAGAAGCATTTCAAAATTAAATATTTATTACATTTAATCACTTCAAAACTATATTTTAATGGTGTATAATTCTGATTTAGTCCCAAAACAATTATTTGTTTTTGATAATTGTATTTATGGTTTGTTGTGTACTTTACATAATACATGCAATTAACATAAGTGCATTTCATAATATTACACTTGAGTATATGCAAAAGCTTTTAATCATATTGTGTTGTAAAATTTCATTTAAAAATTTTAAAAAGTTTTTTATTATAAAATAAATCTTATTTAAAGTACAGGTAACCCCCGTATAAAACGGTAGTTACGTTCCAAAAAATTGCCGTGTTATGCGAATCCGTGTTATACGAAACAAAGAACTAATACGAAAAGGAGGGTTAGGTTCCAAAAATTAAAAAACATGCTAGTATATTTTCATAATTAAGATAAATATCTTCATTAAAATTTTTTTAAGTGATACATATTAATATAAATTAAACAATGTTTTCTTCGTCATCACTAAAAACACTATTAATTAACCGAGAGCGTTTTCTTTTTGGCAAGTTATCCTTATCCTCTGAGCATTTTTCTGCATTATCTTCAGATCCATGCTTTACCTTTTGCAAAATGTATGTAATTTTAGATTGCTTGCTTCTAGTTAAAAGGTCTTTATAAATTTCCTTATATGGTGCTAAGCACTTATGAAGAATAAAGCAAGTATGGAATAAGGGAAAAACATTCGGCAACATCAGAAGCAGAAGCGTCGCGATCTGGCAACATTGAAACAAGTTTCGAGAAGAACCACGTGTATCGACAGAAGGCGAGAAGAGAAAATTTACATACTTAAGTACTAATAGTTCACGAAAATAATAATTTTCGTGAACTATTAGTACTTAAGTATGTAAATTGTACTTCTTATTATGGAGTCATAAACACCAAAAAAAAAACACTAAATATTTTTAATAATTTTTATAAATTAAGGTTGTTTATCTTTATATTTTTAAGTTTATATATAAAATCTTGAAGAGTAATACAGGTAACCCCTGTATAACACGGCACTTCTATAGCATGGATTTGCTCTAACATGGTTCGAGAATTGGTACCATCTCCCGTATAACACGGTACTTTTATAGCACGGATTCACTCTGACACGGTTCGAGAATGGGTAAAACCCTTATACAACAGGAAATGTAATAAATTTTTACATACTTAAGTAATAATAGTTCACGAAAATAATAATTTTCATGGTTACCTGTACTTGAAGAGTAATACAGGGTTACCTGTATTACTCTTCAAGATTTTATATATAAACTTAAAAATATAAAGATAAACAACCTTAATTTATAAAAATTATTAAAAATATTTAGTGTTTTTTTTTTGTGTTTATGACTCCATAATAAGAAGTACAATAACTAAAGTAGAAAATATTTTTATTCCTGTTTACTTAATTATGATTTTGAATTTGGAATTATAAATCCTTGTAGTGTACATTAAATACAATTCAATATAAGAAGTACAATAACTAAAGTAGAAAAAATTTTTATTCCTATTTACTTAATTATGATTTTGAATTTGGAATTATAAATCCTTGTAGTGTACATTAAATACAATTCAATAGTTTTAAAATTTATATTTTTAGTGTTAACACACAAATTAAACATAATTTATGTAATGTTTTATATTATGTTTATACAGTTTTGATGCTTTTGATATGTTATTCATATCACTGGTAAGCTTACCTACTACAATGATTTTTATAATTTTGGATTGTTTTATTTTTTACTACTGAAATTTTAAAATCAAGGAATTATTAAAAAGGGTAAAATAGTAAAATACTCAGTTTTAGTGGAATTTATATATATATTTGTGATAATTTATAATTTAATGAGAAATTTTATTCTTTATAACTTATAATGGAATATTTCTATAAATTGAATGATAACTGATTTCAAATTTAGCACAAAATTGAAAAATTTCAATATGAAAAATGTTTTATATTTTGAGAAAAATATTATTTTTGTTTTTATTAATGCTTCAAATTGAAATTTTTGTAATTAAAAATATTAAGTATAAACATTATAAAACTATGTTTAAAGTTTATGCTTTTAGTTAAGCATTATTTAGCTTAAATATTAAAATTTTTGAAAATAATACACATTTAAAATTAATTAAATTTATCACTTAATTAGATACAGAATTTGAAAAATATATTTTATTCAGAATTAGTTTATATATATAAATGATATTTTTCATTAAAAAAAATATATATTTGAAGAGAATGAAAATCTTATACATATTGGAATTTCATTCATCAGTTTATAATAAAACTTAAAGTAATTGATTGATTAAAATTTTGTTTTGAGTTAATTTCTATAAAAAATTATCTGCAAAGTTCATATTTTCTAATTTTGATTCAAAATATATTTGTTAGAGATGTATTATTTAGTATTATTATTATATATTATTTATGAATATAGTTCTTTTCATTTAAGAGTTATGTTTAATAATGAATCTTTATTTTTAACATAATAATAATAGATTTAGATGTTTAGATCATTACACTTTCAAATGAAAAATTTTAATTGTTTTAACAATAATTAAACTTGAAAATATACTAATCTTTAACAACTTAATTATTTACATACAAGCACATGTCTGTAAATAACTAGAAAATTTCTTTACAACAGAAAAGAATGTTTATTATTATTTTAATATTACCAAAGTATAAAGAACTTAACTGGTTCATTCTACTTTTTACACTATATCAGAGATTTACTTCAATTCAGTCAAACTGGTTCAAGGACAAAACTGACACAAAAAGATTTAAAGAGTTCTTTCTCATTTAGTAAATTAAACTAAAAAAACATCTAATTAAAATGGGACAAATTGATGTTAAAATAACTTTGAATTTCTATAATAAAACTTTGCTTTCTGCTATATCTAATGAAGAGTTTACAAAAAAATTTATTTTATTATTTATTAAAAGATAAATATTTTTCATACTAATATTAATCAATAAATTTAATACTTTTAATTAACAAATTTAATAATATATTTATCTCATGAGAGTTAAAATAAATTTTCTATTNTTACATACTTAAGTAATAATAGTTCACGAAAATAATAATTTTCATGGTTACCTGTACTTGAAGAGTAATACAGGGTTACCTGTATTACTCTTCAAGATTTTATATATAAACTTAAAAATATAAAGATAAACAACCTTAATTTATAAAAATTATTAAAAATATTTAGTGTTTTTTTTTTGTGTTTATGACTCCATAATAAGAAGTACAATAACTAAAGTAGAAAATATTTTTATTCCTGTTTACTTAATTATGATTTTGAATTTGGAATTATAAATCCTTGTAGTGTACATTAAATACAATTCAATATAAGAAGTACAATAACTAAAGTAGAAAAAATTTTTATTCCTATTTACTTAATTATGATTTTGAATTTGGAATTATAAATCCTTGTAGTGTACATTAAATACAATTCAATAGTTTTAAAATTTATATTTTTAGTGTTAACACACAAATTAAACATAATTTATGTAATGTTTTATATTATGTTTATACAGTTTTGATGCTTTTGATATGTTATTCATATCACTGGTAAGCTTACCTACTACAATGATTTTTATAATTTTGGATTGTTTTATTTTTTACTACTGAAATTTTAAAATCAAGGAATTATTAAAAAGGGTAAAATAGTAAAATACTCAGTTTTAGTGGAATTTATATATATATTTGTGATAATTTATAATTTAATGAGAAATTTTATTCTTTATAACTTATAATGGAATATTTCTATAAATTGAATGATAACTGATTTCAAATTTAGCACAAAATTGAAAAATTTCAATATGAAAAATGTTTTATATTTTGAGAAAAATATTATTTTTGTTTTTATTAATGCTTCAAATTGAAATTTTTGTAATTAAAAATATTAAGTATAAACATTATAAAACTATGTTTAAAGTTTATGCTTTTAGTTAAGCATTATTTAGCTTAAATATTAAAATTTTTGAAAATAATACACATTTAAAATTAATTAAATTTATCACTTAATTAGATACAGAATTTGAAAAATATATTTTATTCAGAATTAGTTTATATATATAAATGATATTTTTCATTAAAAAAAATATATATTTGAAGAGAATGAAAATCTTATACATATTGGAATTTCATTCATCAGTTTATAATAAAACTTAAAGTAATTGATTGATTAAAATTTTGTTTTGAGTTAATTTCTATAAAAAATTATCTGCAAAGTTCATATTTTCTAATTTTGATTCAAAATATATTTGTTAGAGATGTATTATTTAGTATTATTATTATATATTATTTATGAATATAGTTCTTTTCATTTAAGAGTTATGTTTAATAATGAATCTTTATTTTTAACATAATAATAATAGATTTAGATGTTTAGATCATTACACTTTCAAATGAAAAATTTTAATTGTTTTAACAATAATTAAACTTGAAAATATACTAATCTTTAACAACTTAATTATTTACATACAAGCACATGTCTGTAAATAACTAGAAAATTTCTTTACAACAGAAAAGAATGTTTATTATTATTTTAATATTACCAAAGTATAAAGAACTTAACTGGTTCATTCTACTTTTTACACTATATCAGAGATTTACTTCAATTCAGTCAAACTGGTTCAAGGACAAAACTGACACAAAAAGATTTAAAGAGTTCTTTCTCATTTAGTAAATTAAACTAAAAAAACATCTAATTAAAATGGGACAAATTGATGTTAAAATAACTNCTTAATTAGATACAGAATTTGAAAAATATATTTTATTCAGAATTAGTTTATATATATAAATGATATTTTTCATTAAAAAAAATATATATTTGAAGAGAATGAAAATCTTATACATATTGGAATTTCATTCATCAGTTTATAATAAAACTTAAAGTAATTGATTGATTAAAATT